GGGGGATTTGGGATCTGGGGTCTGGGAACAGGGACAGGAGGAGAGGGAACGGCCTCAGGGGAGGCTCAGGGTGGAACCAGCAGGAATTTCTCCATGGAAAGGGGAGTCAGGGATTGGAAATGCCCAGGGCTGCCCACTGGGCTGCTGGAATTTGCAGGGAACACCTCAGCAATGTAAGGTCTGGGTGTTAAAGCAATACTGGAAGGTTCAGACACCAATAATGTGCTGTGTGTCCTGAGCAGGCATTAAAAATGTTCTGCCTGACTCTGTCCCTCCAGTTCTGACTTCTCACCCCTTCCTTCCACGTTATGAGCAATCTTGTCTGTATTTGATCTGCAGGACTTTACAGGCACTGAGGAGATACAAATAACAACATTCACTGAACATTTCTGTCTAATGGCTGGTCCATGTAGGAGACAACCACTCACTGCATGGACCCAAACCCAGCAGAAAACATCCCCCTGATCTGTCCTGCTGCTTATCACAGATTTATCCATGACACCCAGATACCATGACAAGTTCCATCACGTCTCCATTACCCTTAAGGAGAACAGAATCCATCATGAAAACCCTCATGATGGCTTGGGGTGAAGTCTCCCTAGATATCATTACTCCCCTGCACTAACACATCCTTTTTGACAAGGCTTCAGCCTTTGTTTTCTAAAGATGCCTCTGGAATGCCCCATCCTGCTGGACTGACTCAGCCAGACTAACCACAAATCAGCTATAAACAATATTCTTATGAAAGGAGGATGAAAATCAGACCATTGCTCTCAGTGCATGACCTGGTTGCAAATAGTTGTGTATCTATTTTAAATAAGTTTAATCCATCAGACCACGAAGAAGGCTTAAAACTTTTATGGGTCCATGAAGTCCCAAAGTGGGTACAAATTATTCTGAAATACTGGATATATGAAACACAGATCACACAACTGGCTACAAGTTTTAGCAGAGAAAATGATCCATGTCACATTCATTCCTTGCTGAAATCTGGGGACACCCTGATATTGGTGTATTGGGAAGCCTCAGTCCCTGATTTCTGCTGGAACAGAGGTTTTGTGGCTGGAGCACACACTGTGAGGTTCTCCTGCTGTCCTTCCTGGACCAACCTCATCATTAAACTCTTTGCATCTTCTCCTTTCACAAGCAAAAATTCTTCTCTTGTTGCAGTTTCTGCTCGTCTGCCACTAAAGCAGCATTCAGGAGTCATCAGCCACAGAGCCTGAAGTAACTGAGCTCCTCCAACATCACTTGATGTTGTACACGTATTTTTATTTCTCTATCTGTGCACCAAGATCAGCTCAGTCTCCCAGCCCAGATTTGGATAAGCCAGACAGACTAACTCATCTTTCTGAGCAAAATTTCAGCTAACAGCAGCCAATGCCTTAAAGGCAGTCTGCTTAAGTCCAGCAGAGTGAGATCCAGATCTTTCTCAGTGCCTGGAATGGTTTTATACACATATAAAATTAAATATCTGAGATTTTTTTAACTCCCCTAGCTCCATTTTGCTTCATTTGACTGGAGAGTTCTGGCATTCACCAGCTCTCCAAAATCTTGCAAATTCCTATTAATTAACTGTGCACTGATGTAAAAAATGACCACTTGTGGAAGCCCATATGTGCCACATAAAGGTTTATTGTTTCCTACAGCTTAATCAGACACTCTGTAATTATGCAGTCCCAGAGCACCAAGGATAATCCCCAGGCCCAGCACATCTCACCCAGCATTGCTGGTTTTTGTCTCCAAGGTATAAACCTTGACACACGTCCCCCATATCTATTTCTTGCCTCCCTGTGCTCACAGGTGGCCCCTGCAGTGGATTTTTCACCATCTCACAGATTGTGCCGATTGCTGGAACTCTGCCTCTGCGGGTTCCTGCCCTGTGCACCGGGCTCAGGTCAGGATGGATGTGCAGCTCCAGGGCACAGGGAGCACATTCTGCAGCCATGGCTTGCACAGGTTCATTCCCCGTGCTGCTGGAGATGAGAGGAATCTCTTCCACCACATTCCCATGGCCTGTGCAGTTCTCCAGACAGCACTCAGAACAAACACTGCCAGGGCAGTGCCTGCTCTCAGCTCTGTGTTCCTGCTTTACTCTGCTCAAACTCCAGGGATGCAGCTGCAAAATTAAAGCTGAAACCCTCCTGTCTTCTCTATTGCTTCAGAACACTAAAACTGGGGTCTTCTTTTTTTTTTTTTTTTTGACATCCATTTGCCCTACTTGAATATTTTTCTTTAACATGTCCTGCAGCAAAGGCATTCCCCTATACATGAAGGTGTTTTTTGCAGTGTTTGGGAGAACAATTCCACCAGAGTGCACAGGAGTTCTGCCCCACTGTCCTGAGTCATTCACAGAGGGATGTGCTGGCCAGGGGGCTGATCTGAAATACTCAGGCTCAGGTTGGATGTGGCTCTGAGCAGAGTGCTGTCGTGGAGGATGACCCTGCCCCTTGCAGGGGTTGCACAGGTGACCTTTAGAGGCCTCTTCTAAACCCAAACCATTCCCTGATCTGCCAGCCCAGCTTGCCCAAGCTCAGGTGCTTGTTTCCTCTCTTTGGCTGGCACTCCTGTTTCACTTGGAACCCCTCTGCATCACATCCCAGAAAGAATTAATTCCAGGAGCCAAAGGCTGCAAATCTTTCTTAGCTGTCAGAGCAGCATTTCTGTAATCACATGGCTTTGGCCAGAGTCTGTGTGCACGTCAATTCACTTACACTTTCTCCCAAATATCCCACATTTCTGATTTTAAATTAGATTTCTTTTGCCATGCCCCATTTTTTTACCCTTTTGCTGCCCTCTCCCCCACCCCCCAGTCTATGTGGATTGCAATGTCCTTATTTCCTTCAAATAATTCTTGCACTTTCCTGTCAAAACCTTAGGAGCAAGAAAAAACCCAGAGGGAAATTTTTAAAAGGAACATGTCCCATCAGGGACATTGGAAATGCAGAATTGCAAAGTCTTCTTGGTCAGAGCAATTTGCAAAGACCCAAGAGGGGCAGATCACTGGGTGAAAAACCCAAATCTCCAGCTATTGTCTTCAAAATACCTCCCTTGGTACACAAGGGAAAAAATTTTGTCTGAGTCGTTTCTTATTAAAAATTAGAAAATTCCTATTGAGTTGTTTGGGATCTAATCTCCATCTGGGGGACCTGTCCTTCCTTCCTGCTGCTCCCAGGGGCAGGCATATTGCAGTGACTTCTATTTTAAAAAATGATTTTCAGTGTTTGCAGATAGTCCAGACCCTTCCCTGAACTTCTGCCTCCTGAGCAGAGCATTTCTGGAGGCTGTGGCACTGAGCTCCAGGATCTGCCAGCACAGATTTCTGTGCCCTGCTCACCAGTGCTATCAAAGACATCTCAACAATGGTTAATTTTCTCCTTTTTTTTTTTTTTTCCCCTTTTTTCTACACTTCCTTGCAGTGTACACTTTCCTGCTCCAGACACCATCCAGTGATCCACGTTCCTTTTCACATCCCAGAGATCTTTCCATGTGCTGTAGCCTCTGGCTGCAGGCAGCTCCTGTGGAGGAGCTGGCACCCAAGAAAGAGAGGATGGAGCGAGGCTGAGGGTGAGGAGAGGGAGGGATGGCTGCAGATCCAGCGGTGGCAGCTGCTGGCTCAAAACCTGGCATCATAAACTGGGGATAGGAATGGACCTGGGCTCCTGTCCTGGGCTCCTCCCTCGCTGACAGAACCAAGAACAAGACCCTGAATTGTGCTGTGGTCAGAAATGAGATGGGTGATGAGAGGGGCAGCAGCTCCAAGGATTCCAGGAATTCTGGATCCAGGCAAAGTCTGGCCTTCAGAAGGACACCCAGGCTGCTTCTGTCATGTCCCACCACACTCTCCACAGAATAACAGATTTTCCCCTCCAAATTCTGATTTCAAATCCATTTCCCCTCATGCCACAGAATTGCTTACACAGAAATATGTTCTCCCAGGGCTGGCTGGAACCTGTCAGAGTCTGTGCATAGCAGCTACCAGAGATGGTAGAAGAGTGACACCTTTATCTTTCCAAGCCTTGTGAGGAGTGAGATCCCGGAGGAGTGGAGAAGGAATGCCCTTTCTGAAGAAGCAGACAAAGGCAGCAGATGAATCATAGATCAATCTCATGGATAAGACTCCAGCCAAGAGTGATTTGACCTCTCCAAGCTCTTTGGCACAGGTCCCCGTGAGGTGCAGCAGTCACAGCCAAGTGGGTGCTCGTGAATACAGAGCTGCAAAGCCAGAAAAGGCACATTGCCAGACTAAGAAGGTGTTTGAGAGTCTGTCCTGAGTCTGGTACTGTTCAATATTCCCATAATGACTCCAGTGATGGAATAGAGAATAGATTTCTGTAATTTGTGGCTGGCAGAAGATGAAGAGGGGGTCACAAGCGATAGGCAAGACAAGACTGGAATTGAAAATGATCTTGGTGTGTTTAAGGCAGTGGATGAAATCAGGAGGGTGACACTGAGTGTGAAAAGACAGGAGGGAAAAGCAAACCCAGGAAACAGAAGCAAGGGAGATGTGGCCATGGGTGAGAGGTGCTCACAGGGAAAAGCAGCAGGATGGAAACCAGAAAATGTGTGGTCTGGGGCATGAGTGGTTTGTGTTGATCACAGGAAGCAATTATCAGCACTTCTCAGCTCCAGCCAGGCTTTGGCTGCAGTTTGGGTCATCTTTTGATAGGACAACACATGTTAAGGAAGATGACAAGATCCCAGAGGAATTTTATTAAAATTATAAATGGTTTGCAGGCTGAGGCGAGGATGAAAGAAAAGGATTTGTGTCGTTTAGGATGAAGGCTGTGAAGAAACAAGATCAGAGCACTTAAATCCATAAACGAGACATTTTAGATGTGGACAGTGATAGATATCCCTCCACTGTTGTGGGACAGAAGATGAGAAATAATTCTGAGTAAATGGAGGAGTAAAGGGAGATTTAGATCCGTATTAAGAAAAACGTTCTGTGGGGAGTTAAAAAGTGGAACAGATTATGGAGGGTCTGTTTAATCCCCAGCAGTGGAATTCTTTACAAAAGCACCTGTCAGAAACAAGTCTTGCATCGTCCCTTCTGTGCTGGAGCAGCAGGGGCTGCACACACGGTGCCTCCTGTGACTCCATCCATGGCAGACCCTGCAAATCGAGCACAGGCACCTCCAGAGCAATCAAAGCCCGCTGGAGCCAGGCATGGGGTGGGGGGGATGGAGTGCATGGGAGGTGTGGAGCCCCCAGAACAAGGCACCTCCCTCCTCAGGGCCAGGCTGGACACTGGGCTGGCAGAGGCTGGGGTGCTGGCAGGTGTCCCTGGGCAGCACAGGGGGCTCTTCCCTGCCTCAGGGGGCTCTAACACAGCTCCTGACACTCTGGTTTTATCCCACCCAATGCTGACACTCCCACCAACCTGCAGAACAAGGCTGGATTTTCAAAGCACGTGCAGCACCCCCGGGAGGTGTGTGTCCCTGCCAGGGATGTGAGGGAAGTGCTGCTCCAGGGCCAGCTGAGCCCATTTGCTCACTCTGCAGCCTCCTTTGTGTGCAGAGCACACAGCAGCCCTGTGCCAGTGACAGAACAAGGGCCAGGTTCAAAGACAGAGC